TTTTAGTATATCTCAAAGGTTCTAATTAGCTTTTTTTCATAAAGTTTTTTAAACTTGAGTTTTCATAGTCACCTTCTTAAATATACAGTTGGCATTACCTTGATGTGGTAATTCACAAATGATTCTCTTTAATCAAGAGTATAAAATTAAGGTATTATTGTGAGATGTTCTCACTGAAAATATTGACAGACAGTTCCCAGGGTCAAACCAGAAAGGGAACATAAGCTGCAAATGTGTATACATTTGAAAAATATTCTGGAGAGTTTGACTGCTTGCTAGCCAAGTCTATTCAAAACATTTTAATGATTCTATGAAAGTGAAAATGACATTTCATGCAAAGGGTTATGAACTGAAATGCAGGAACAGAGAGGTGCAAAGAGCTGGTAGTACTGGCATTCACTGGCAAGCATACACCAGGGTCAAGTGTGTCAGAAAAGGTGCAACAGAAACAGGTAAACAAGAATATCCTAATGTCCCCGACCCCTACTCCATTCAGATTACAAAGCACCTGTCATCATGTACTAGAGATCAGTGATTTCATATTAGAAACATGATAAATATGTCTTAAAAGAATATATCTATAGAAAACATACATATAAAATTGTATATTTTAAAATAGTTTAAAATCTAAAATATCTATCAATATAAAACATTAATTTTTCTATGCATAAGTTGGGCTTTTCTCTATGTAACAATATCATGTCCAAAGCTCATCATAAACCCAACTTACTTATACACTGATAACTGAAATACAAACTCTCATAAACATAACACAAATATAACTCACTCATACGTATGTAAATTGTGTTTATAAACATTACATACACACAAACATGCATGTCCATTTCGGCTTTCACAGAAAAAGAGCTCAATCACTGACACAGCATCTCTTCATAAACATTCACGTTTCCAAAGTGTTTCCATGTGAAAAAAGTTTTTAACTAAGTTCTGCTCCTAACTGAACAGAGTGGGCACAATACTTTCAGCTGCCTATCACATTCTAAACAAATCTGATTTTGTTACAGTGAAAAAGTATTCATATATGATATATGAAATTTCTCACATTTCTTGTGTGAAGGGCACTGCTTTAAGAGCAAGGATTCTTGATCATGCCTACAGTCCTTCCCAAACCATTTTCCCTCTGCTTATTCTACTCCTCTTCAATAAAGCACGCAACTGGAAAGAGAGTCTGGGCTTCAGATCTGACCATGTGCACCTTGGAAATTGTGGAATGTCAGCAATGAGCTCTGGGTCAGAGATACGACCCTAGTAGCCAGAAACCCAGGCCTTTGCCTGCTTTTTTGATAGTTAATCCTAATAAACTGGTTACACAAAAAGAATCACAACTTGAATCACTAAAATAAATGATTGCTTAGAAGAATTACCAGAAAGCCATTGTTTTCCTTGCCGTGAGATCACACAGATCGTCTAGCATGCTCGATGACACACGGTCTTCAATGAGTGCCACACCCATGTACTTGGGTGTGTACTAGCCACTAGCCTTATCTAATAAAGTATTTACCTATTTATACAAAAATTAACTTACAAAAATTAACTTGCAAAGAATAAGAAAGGCTGAAGGTATATAATCTGAAATCAGAGAATCTTACATACAAAAATTTATTCAATCATATCCAAAGGTCACTATAGTTATAACTTTTAATTCAATTTGACTACTTTTTTAGCTTGAAGCTTTAAGTATTAATGTTCTGAAAATAATTTCCCACTCATTGATGAGTTATTATAGAATACTGGAGCTTGTGTTATTAGGCTTAGTGTGGTCAAATGAAATTAAAAGCAAATGAAATTAAAAAGTGCTAAATGATGGGGTTGGAAGACCCCTAAACATTTCCAAAAGAAACATTGCTCAGAGGCAAATTAGATTTAAACTCCTTAAATTGGGCCAAAATGCCATTTAATATGTGAATAGGGGTATTTTCTCTTACATCCCTCCCTCTCTTTCTCTTTTGTACATTATGGAGTTTATTACCACATCCCTTTACATATGACTGTTTGGACAAAATAACTAACCAAGGAGTGAATTCTATGCCTGATGTGAAAAAAGCCAAACTATGAGTTAGGTATTAAGTAATAGGGGAAAAGTCTGATTCTAGTGGCTTAGGTTACTTTTAAAAGAAGGAAGTCTCATGCCTGCATATCTAAGCATACATCAAACTCTCTGATTGTCAAGCACAGCCTCATCATGGTCACTTATACCCATTTTGGGTTGTAGAGACCACCTTAACTCTCAGAGTTCCAAGTAGATAAAAGTACCCTGATGTGATTGAGTGGGGTATATCATTCATACCAGGCGGAAGTGTCATATTTAAGGACCATGGCTCTCAAAGACAGGAGTCCCTAGCAATGACATCTGGTGTCACAGAACGCCTCTCTAACTTGTGTCATAAAGTAAAAACAAACACTTCCACTGGCTGAGGTTTTAGTAAACTGTCTTACTAGATAGGAGAAACAACTGTGTACTAACCCCACCGCAGGCATTATAACTGACAGAAAAGGCTCATTTCTTATCCCCTCCTCATCCCCGATCACTGATGCACACCATGACATGTGACTACATTTTCAGCATGTTTAAATTGACACTAATAATCCTAATAAGGAAAAACAGCAACTATTTCCCCCAACCACGTGGCATATACAGAACACATTTCTACTTCATGATCTACTCTACAATATATGCCACCAATTACAACTTTGGAACATCACACAATAACAAAATACCAACTTTTAACAGTCATGTTCCCAAACATGTATGTATTCACACAGACACACACGCTATTTTGGGGGTACTCATCTCTGAGGAGTAAGCTCAGGAAGTTTCCCCAGATATATAATTCACCATCTGAGAGATGTTGTCTAGAGGAGGAGCATAAACTAGGTGAACTATGTCTGCAGCAAGCCCATGACAACCCAGCATGATGGTGACATCCTGTCATAGTTTATTCAATGTGGATGTGTGTGGTAAGACTGTGGGCCAGCTCTGCTCCTGAGAGATCAGCACTCGCTTGTCTTTTCGTGGAATATGAAAGGTAAACTGAGATTTCTTTGGTGATGGTCATTTTCTTGCATGGCAGATTTTTCTTCTGTTGCTGCATTGATGTTGTCTGAATAAACATCTTCATCGTCTTCTTCATCCCTGGGGTTACCCTCCAGGCTGTGTCTAATGCCGTAAGCAAAGTAAATCAAGAAGCCTTTTGAGGGACAAAAAAAATCCATGTTAGGAAGTAGGTGTTTGAATTGGAAGACAACATAGAACCTAGTAGATTTCCCCTTTCTTCTACTTGAGAAAAATGGGATGCAAATATAGACAATGCACAGGTGTCCTAAATAGACGTTCTTCTGATAGAAAGCACTTCTTCATTTTAACATCCACACTTTACAGAATATATTTTTCTTTCAACAAATGTTCTCAGACAATATTTATATGAAAAAATTTATATTTATGTTCCCAAAACTCAATAGAATTACTTTAAGCAGAACACTGTATGAGGCAGAGGGTCAAACTACACATGAAATCTACTACCAGTGGATTACCAGAGTCACAGTCAGGTAGTTTAGGACGCATGGCCTGTGTTCACAACAGGGACAAGGACATGCTGTCTATTTGTTATTGTTACCAGGGAAGACCTAAGGATCCTGTACAAAGCACCTATCAATAGCCATTCCAACTGTGGGGAAAAGGGGCAATGTTTTAAGTGTCCTTAGAAGACAATTATAATTTTACTTAAAATTAGTACCTTCACTGAGCTTTAGTTCTATTTTAGAAAACTGGGTAAGAATTTTCATTGATATGATGACTTTTGGGGGACTTCATTTTTCTCATTCTTAAGTTGGAGAAAAATAGAATCTATGTAAACCCCAGGGTTACTGGGAAATTTGAATTAAAAATGGCATCTGAGGGGTTGGGGGTGTAGTTCAGTGGTAGAGGGATGGCTTAGAATGGCTGAGGTCCTGGGTTGAGTCCCCAGCACTAAACAAAATAAGACAATGAAATAAAAATGGAAAAAATGATATCAGAAAACATCTGGAAGCACTGAGACGTCTAGGAAGCAATTACACAGAGCTTTGCTTTCTGGAAGGAAGCGTGCACCTTTCTATTATCACAGCCCGTGAAAAACAGTGAACCAAAGTTCTAACGCACTGCAAAACCTACCAAGTGCCATCCAAATGCTGAATCTGACCCAAGTGTCAGCGCTTAACTGGACCATCAGGTAAATGTTGACCAGGATGCTGACGGCTGGCAGGAATGGTAGGAATGGTACCTATGGGGGAAATAGCCTTTTGAATAGAGTCTTACTAAGAAAGAATATTCTCCATATTATTTCACGGTGGTGGCAATTAATACCTGGTGTACAGTCACACTGTATTAAGTTTAAGATCTCATAAAAAGATCAATCTGAACAAATACTATTTTCCTAGAAGCTACTGAAAAGAAAATCACATTTCAGATGACTTGTTGAAGCTCAGAGAAACACAGTAAGACCCATAGAGCATCCCCAAGATAGAACAGGGTTTAGGTGTCAATGTAGTTCAGAGTTTACTCGTCTAGTTCAGTTATCAACAGGGATGTCTCTGGAAGTCTCGATACACATGGCACCCCAGGGGACCCCTCCAGGAAGCACTGTTCACACCCAAGCCTGCTCCTAGATCTAGTGGGGCAAGATTATTTAACTTGTAGAGGAGAGTACTTGGTGGGAATAAATCTTCATGAGAAGGCTTTGAATTTCTAAAAAAAAATTCAAATTATCTTCCTTCCTTTTTCTATTTATATTATTTATTTTTTTGGTGCTTGAGGATTGAACCTAGAATCTCCTGAATTATTTTTCTAATACTATAGATTGTTTGATGCAAAATTTTACTATTATTTATTTCTTTATTGCAATAGGGGCATATTAAAGTTTGTGAGGAGCATGGGACAGCCAGCAGAGGACACTGCTGGAAATAGCACTATGTCCAGGAGTTTCCACACTCTTGATCATTGTGTGGCTTTGTTTAGCTTTTTACAAAATAAACAGAAGGGCTGGAGAGATGGCCCAGTGGTTAAGAGCACTGGCTGCTTTTGCAGAGGATCCAGGTTTGATTCCCAGCACTCACATGGCAGCTAATAATCACCTGTAACTCCAGTTCCATGGGAGTCTGATGCTCTCATCTGACCTCCATGGGAATTGCATGACACTTTCACACATTCAGGTAATACACTTATAAAATAAAAATAAAAAATAATAAAATTTTTTAAAAAATTAAAAATGAACAGAGGGGCTGGAGAGATGGCTCAGCAGTTAAAGAGCACTGGCTGCTCTTATAGAGGACCTGGGCTTCATTCCCAGCACCCACATGGTGGCTAACAACAATTCCAGGGGAATTGGATGCCCTCTTCTGACCTCCATGTGCATGGCACAACACAGGTACACTTGCACACATGCAGGCAATACACTCATACACATAACAAAATAATAAATAAAATACCAAAAAAATGAATAAAACACAGAAAACACAGATATGCGTTTCACATACCATGAAGGCTACTTTTTGCTGATTCTGTGGTTGTCTCCAAATGCTAAGAACAACGGCCACACATAGGACAAAAAAGAGGGCAAGAAGGGCCAGGCTCCAGGCTTCCAGTCTGGCAACAGCCTGGACTCCATATGTGGTCAGAATACTCAGGCCCAAGACGAGAAATGCTGCAAAGCACACAGGGCAGAGTCAGCACAAAGTCGGCTCGTGTTCCTGAAGTCTAGTGGTATATTCTGGTACAATGCCAAGTTCTTTATAATCAACTTTGCCAGACAATCTGTCATTTTGTTTTTTCTTTTTCATTGTGAAAAAGAGACAGTCTACTTCACTCATTTAAGAAACACTGCTCATGCCCTTGCTTCCTAGAAGTCCATCTGTCTTGGCACTAACATCTTGCTTTGTCTGCCTGTGTACCCAGGGGTCCTCCTTTGCTATTCTCAGACTATGTCACATGAACTGACAGGATGTTTTTGGTGGTGGACAGCTCCCATTTTTTTCCAATGAGGAATGGCAAGCAAGCTTGTCTACTTTAAGCTACTGTAAAGATGGTGCTAATGCAGAAAAGTAGTATCCTATGATCTGCATCTTTCCTCCATACTCTGGGCAATGACACTGTGGTTCTGACCATCAAGGATGCAACAGAGGCCCCTTCCTTTCTGCTGTCTGAGAAACAGCATGGGCACCCATGTGCCACAGTGTGCATGCGGCAGTCAGAGTACAACCTTGGATGTTGGTCCTCGCCTTCCACCTTGTTTGAGGCAGGGTCTCCTGTCTGAATTGTGTAGGCCAGGCTAGCAGCCTATGAGCTCCTGGTGATGTGTCTATCTCACCTCCTATCTTGTTGTAGAAGCACCTCCTTTACAGATGCTGCACTACCATGGCTGGCTTTCTGGAGATCCAAACTCAGGTCCTCACATACGTGTGACAAGCACTTTCCTCACTGTACCATCTCCCTAGCTCAGGTCTTTCTTTTTTCTTCAATTACCAAGATATGATAAATCTGCCTGCACAACATAACATGACCTCAACTACCAGGACTCTGTAGGTGCAGACTTCAGTCTCAAGTTGGCTGCTAACATATTCCAGGGCAACATGAAGCCATATCCTGTTTCTTTCCCATCACACTGGCTCCACATCTTTTGGGCCTTTCCATGTCTGAAGTGAAGACTTACCCAGGAATCCTACCAGAAAGCTCACAAGAGAAGCTGACTGTCGAGTAGGCAGAGCAGAAGGGCTGAAGAGGATCCGTAGGCTGAAACCCTGTCCTTGCAGCATGGTGACCTGGGACTCGCTTTTCGAAGCTGCACTGGCGCATGATCCCAGAATTTCCTTCTCAGGGGTGTATGTGGGCTGCTCGTAACATAAGCCAGGCTGGTACCTGTCCGCACATAAACATTGGTGTCTTTACTTTCACTGGCCCAAATGAAACTAGCACATAAAACTCTTGAGTGAGACAGTTTCCAAAGTCACAGTGTATGCAGGCAGATGACACTTCTCATGACTCCAGCCCCACAGGATGCTGAGCCAGCTACAAACCTCTCCCATACAATTTCTGCAGCAACTCTGAATTTCCTCTCATAGCTACTTAATTAGAAATTGTACAGTAGATATAAAAAAGTCACAGTTGAAGGTAAAGCAGTTTTGATGATTGGAGATGCCTGTCTATAACCAAAGGAATTGCAATTCATGAAAAAAAGCACAGAAACTCAGGTTAATATTGGCCTTATTGTAGTCTGTCCCTTGGGCCACATTTCCTTACTTCCAGCTGGACTCACCTAGTTTAACCCAGAGATCATTTAGTGATCTGGCTGCCTCCCTAGGGCATGAGTGCCATTTTTCTTTATTCTTGACCCTATTCATCTGTAGTTCGTCAGCACATAAACCCTAGTATCTGGACCAGGCTCCCCATTGTGAACTCTTCTGGGCAGCCCTTGCTTATTTCAGAAACATTTCCCCCTTGGAATGAAACATGTTCACTGAGAAAAACACATGGTAGCATACAGAAGGAAACAGGAACTACCCATGGCATCACTGCCCATGTTAACCTCTGTTAGCATTTTGGTACAATTTCATCCTGGGATGTGTGTGGATATAAACACATATCATTTCTTAATATAAATTTATAACATTATTATACCAATTCAAACACTATAGTTTGCATCTTTATATTTATATTGAAATATTTATCTATATACTCAACTATCAGTTTTGTCAAAGAAACTACTGAAGAAATGTATAATCATTTATGTAACTGTTCTTTTATTGATATGTTAACTATGTGTCTTCACATTTGTCCATTAATATTTTTGTGAGCATCATTTACATCTATCTGTGCCTCCCTGATAAGACCTTTAGGATAAACATTAGCACTGAATTATTAGGATCAAAAGTACAGTATAGATACTGTTGGTAGATACACATTTATTGACTTAGAAAAATATTCAGGATCTATTACCAAAAGAAAAAAGGTAATATTGTGTAATAGTTAAGGATAAGGGCTTTATGGGTTAGGGAATTCAATGCCCTCTTCTGAACTCTGCAGGCACTGCATGATGTGCATATATATATGCAGACAATACACTCATACACAAAAAATAAAAATAAAATATTTTTAAAAAGAAATCATGTAAGAATTAATGTTTTAAAGTAGAGTATTTATACGTATCTCCACACATTCAAGTAAACTGCCGTTCACACTATACTGGGCCAACCTATCTGTAATGCCCAGATTGTACTCTGTTCTTTTCTAAAGGCCATGGCCTCCCACTCTGGTGAGACTGCTAGCTCCTCCTTAATGGTGAGTCCTCACCATCTCTACTCCCTGGATCCCACTGGGCATACACCCTTCAGAACCAACTCACCTGAGGATGAGCACACAGGCTGCAACCAGAGAGTAGGCCATGAGGGTGCCGATGGACATCATGTCCACCAGAGCCTTCAGGTCAAAAAGAAATGCCATCACAGCTGTTGGGAAAAGAAAAGAAAGGTAAAGCCAAAGGCCTCTGATGACACTTTTCTGTTTTGGTATCAATGACAAGTCAGCAGACAGATATCATCCTAGGATAGTCTGTAGGTCATAAAAAATGCTAATACTAAGACTTCAAAGTCTGAAGCTCTTGACCAAACACAAAACGCATTTATGTTGAAATCTTTAAACATATCTGGTCTGACCAAGAGTAAAAATACTCTATGACCAAATGCTGTCCTTTCAGGTCTCAGAAGAGAAACACTACAGTGAAATACTAGAAAGCTTGCTTTTCAAAATCATAAAAAATTTCAAATAGTGTTTTCTGAATACAAATTATATAATCTTGCTAAAAGTCTATCTTTATTAAGAGCTATATACAACTCAAAAATTTAAAATAATCTTTACAAAATAAATAATATAGTCATTTCCAATGAAATTATATTTTGGACACAGACTAAATTCTACTGTGATCAAATTAAAACCACACATTATAGTAGACTGATTACATATGAGAGATCAAGTTATGATTCTGCACACAAAATCCCAACAATGTTAAAAAGTAAAATATACTATGATACTAACTTGAATTCATTACATAATAGTCTAACACCAAATTCAATTTGTATGGTGTTCTAGACTTTACAAGTTTTAGTCTATAATCTTATTTTCTCTTCAAGTCAATAACCCTATGAGATAAAGGAAATTACTTCCATTTTAGCTTTTTAAAACAGACACTATTTTGAGCAAACTCAGCAACTTCTTATGGTCTGATCTGACATGATTATCACTGTCTTATAGACAGGTTGACTTAACAAGGTTACAATTGTCAGGTACAGGCAACCTCTCCTGGCCCTCACTATGAAAACACTTCATTGCTTATATACATATATATTATTAAAATTTTAATGTTTTGTAAGGATAAAAAATAGACAAATATTATTCATATAAGCTCTCTGATCTAACTTTAAAAAAAGTAAATCTGAATGTGAGATTATAATACATATTTTAGAGTATTAAAAAGTATTCTGCTAATATATTGATCTTTTTACTTTATTTATTTATTTATTTTTTTTTTGGTATTTTTGAGACAGGGTCTCCCTATAGTTCCAGCTGGCCTGGAACTTGCTATGTAGACCTGGCTGGCCTCAAACTCACAGAGATCTGCCTGCCTCTACCTCCCGAGTGCTTGGCTTAAAGGTGTATGCCACCACGTCTGGCCTCTTTTTACATTATTAATTTCAATATCTTATTATGCTGTTAAATTCCATTCTTCCTGAATGCCAGAGAGGTTAAATTATTTTTAAAATTCTAAATTCAATGTAGAATTATTAATGGGCAAGATTTTTACACTGTCAAGATGTATTTATGATATGAACTATTGTTAATATTATAATGTATTGTTTAATAATGAAATAAACCAGGTGACTTAGCAAAATCTTCATTTTATTGTGAATTTAAGCCTGAGAAAATAAGTGATTTGCCCTTTCAATGTATGTCTCAAGTGTCAGATCAATTAGAAAATATTTGCAAGGTGAAGGTGCTGAATTAACACTTTCTGACCCTGAAAAAAATTCACTTTCTATCTAATAAAGCATTCTCTAAACAATTTCTCAACACTTCAGAGCCTCAACAAAGTTAGCATTTTTATTTGAATATCTACTGTCACGACAGTATCACTTTATACAGCCATAAAGCTTGCTGGCGTTTCTCTCTCACTCCTGATGCAGCACCTTTAAGACCATTCTCTCAGCCTACGGAACCTCTGAAACATCTGCATATTGAAAGAATCTGGTCAGAGGCAGTTTAAACGGTTATTACAACATGCCAAAACGGAGACAATTTGAATTTTATGAGCAAAACTTTCCTTCCCAAACTACTGAAAGGCAACTAAGTCCTGAATGGGGGTTGAGAGGCCAGTGCAGACAGTGACCACCTCAGGTCATCTTTGGCATTTTTTATATCTGATTAAGAACTGGTTGTTTAAGTTAAAAAAAAAAATCCTACAATCACTATTTTTAAACTAATATTTCCAAAATTAATTATTCAATTTAAATTTTCTGTGCTCCAGATATAATTTATGTTTTCATTCATCAATCAAAAAAGTGATATCTGATAGAGTGGAGAACAATTAACAACTTTTTACACATATGTTAGAAGTCCAAATGGTTAAAATAGTGAAATAACAGAAAACCCCAAATAATTAGTTAAGAATGAATTTCAGTATACCACCATCACCACAATTGTCAGATGTTGATCCCAATTTTCATACAGGAATTTATCCATGATTTTGTTCTTAACTTACATGCACTGCATGCAGACCCTTTCTTAAGTTCATGCATGCGCATAACATGTTCCAGTCCAGTGATGGAGAAGCCTATGTTTGTAACGCTTACCAGAAATGACCCCTGCAGTCAACGTGGCAGCAACAGGTGACTGCCTCTTACTCACTCTTGCAAGAAATCTAAACAGTAAGCCATCCCGGGCCATGGCAAACAGAATGCGGGGTAAGGGAAACATAGAGCCCAGAAGACTAGAACAGAAAAATTCATAATCCACATGTGAGTTGAGTATGACTCTACAAAGCTACATAAATAGGTAAAAAAAAAAATCAAAATAGGAAAACCATAAAGTTTCCAAAATTCACATCAATCAAAACAGAAAACCACCTAACTTTCCATATTTTCCAGAGCTTTTGATGAAAAAGATCCCCCTTTTCTTAATAAAAGTCAACTCTCTCTCACCTGCCACTGCACCCGATGACAAAGTAGCAATTATTGGTGTCTTCGTTTTGGAATTGATTTGAGCTAGACATTTGAAAAGCAACCCATCCTCCGCCATAGCATAGATTACACGAGGCATTGGGAAAATGGATCCAAGAAGACTAGGTAGAAAGCAGAGACATGCAGTATGGCAAACATCCATGCAGGATCATGCTCAGAACTGAAACAATGGTTGTCTAAAGCTCAGCACGACAGCAGAGGCCATGGCTTGGACCGTCTTAAAATGTACTATGACTGGGCATTGAAGACATACACCAATCACAGCCACTGTACAATTCATTATTCTGCTGCCGATATTCACCCAATCAAATTATAAGACTAAAAGCAATATTGCAAGTCATTTGTGTGTATCCACAATCGTTACTAAATTAAAAATGAATTAGACTTTGTAAAAGACCCCAAAATATTGCTGACATTTTAATGTTAATAATTCAGAAAACAAAATTCCTAAATTAACATGTAATTCAAAATTCAGCAATTTCATCTCACAGTAAATCACCTCATTTCTTCAGTAATTATGTATTTTCACATTACCATTATTTGCATCCTATAGCCTGATCTTTTATGAGCATCATAAGACCAAGGTAAAGAATGGCATCATAAGACCAAGGTAATGAATGGTTTAAAAATCAACTTATTATAAATAAATTGAGCATGTAGAAGTAGCCACAATTAAATGTTAGTAAGATTTAATGTGCAACATAATGCTTAAGAAAATTTGAATTACTTATATTTATTGGTTATTTTATTCCACAAGTGATTCACTGTGAAAACCAACAATTTTTTAAAAAGTAGGTAAAATATATTATTTATTTTATTCTATTATTTAAAAAAAATTTTTTGAGACAGGATCTCACTATATAGCCCTGGCTGGCCTGGAATTTGCTATGTAGACCAGGCTGGCCTCGGTCTCACAGAGATCCACCTGCCTCTGCCTTCCCGGTGCTGTAATTAAAGGTAAGCACCACCACACCTGGCAAAATATTGTCTTTTAAAAGTCCATATTTTTGGCTGGGCCTGGTTGCTCATGTCTGTAATTTGAGAGACTGAGGGTGCATGGTGAGTATCAGGCTAACAGCAAGACTCTGTCTCAAAAAAAGTCCATTTTCTTTATCTTTTTTCTCATTTTATAGAGAACACTTTATTAGTTTCTGTAATCCAACCCATACAGATATTACATATTTAATATAATACAGTACTTCTGTACAAATGGAGAAAATCAAGTTTAACATTCTAGACCAATATAGCTATTAATTTCTGTACAGTGCCAAGTCAACATGGTAAATTGGGATACTTTTTTCACAAAGTTGACAGCACAGTTACAGTTTCCAAAAATTCAAATTATACATGTATATATATTTTTATATTTGTATGAAAAGCCAAATAATAGGAGTGTGTTACTCATTAGTAGCTGAGGTAGCCACAGGGGGATCTTGTGTACCCCTTCTAACATCATGTCAGCATAGTATCGTTTATTTGTTTTTTGAGACAGGGTCTCCCTGTAGCCCCAGATGGCCTAGAACTCACTATGTAGATCAGGCTGGCCTTGAACTCACAGAGATATGCCTGCCTCTGTCTCCTGAGTGCTGGGATCAAAAGTGTGTACCACTACACCCAGCCTACTCCACAGTTTCTTTACACTTTGGACTTCAAATTATTTGGATTTCTTAAAAATGAACTTCAGCAAGAGCAGATGACCAGGAAACCCCCTCACTTAATATGATCATGACTAGAAAATAGAAGCATTTTGAGAGGAACAATAAAGTTGCCAAATTACATAATTTTTTAAATTTCAGAATTTAAAAAATGAGTGACCAGGCAAAAAGACTACTTTTCTCTTTCTGAGAATGCTGTGAAGTATGCTGTAAAGCTAGGATGAACTGTTTTACTTGTGATCATATGTTAACTGGACATATAAGAATGGACTGGGAAACCAGAGGAATGAGTTGTAACATTGAAAAAAAAAACATACTGAAAACTGAACACTTGAGATTCAAACACTTTTCTTTTTGCATAAATATTTTTCACTATTAATTTCAGAATGGCTATTTCTGTTTCTTGGATAAATTCACTCTGATTGGTGCTAAGAAAAAAAAAATCTCAGTGTGCCCCAACGGATGCATATCTACAGTTTAAAGTGACACAGCCACAGCAGATCATTACTTCTTGTCCAGACTTAGTACCGCTTCACAGTGAGCAGTGGAGTGTGGTGCCTGCACGGTCTCCCACTGACTGAAGCAAATGCAAGCGATACCAAAGCCACAGGCATGTTCATCCCAAAAGTTTCTAACAGATATGTGGCTATGTGTGAACCAGACACTTACGTGTGTTAATGTGCATATTTCTATCAAAGCTTGAACCATCATTATCTTGAAAAAAGAAACTGACTTAGCTGATGGGGAAATGTTTTTCTTTTTTTAATCACCCAACATTTTTAGACAGCAATTCTGGGCAAATTATTCAACGAGTGCGTAGTTCCTTATGTTCGTGCTAGAATATTTTTAGAGTATATGAAACCAATCTTGTGGTGGCAGTGGTCAGAGGTCAGATCCAGGGCTTCCCATGTGCCAGACAAGCACTCTATCACTGAGCTACACTCACAACACACAAAAGCAAATTTTAAGACAATGACTCCACTTTGCAGAAACAGAAAGAGCCCAAGTCCCAAAGGCCGTTCAATGTACCTTGTCGACAATGCACAGAGGGAACCGGCTGCAACAACGTATTTGGCAGGACCCCATCCAACGTACTCAAATGCTACAGGCAGTGGGCTTTTCTCATCAAGGAGGTAATAAGGCATCATAAGTGTCAAAGCTGCAGAAACCCCAAAATAGGCCATAAAGCAAACAAGTAAAGAAGTCACTATTCCAATTGGTATAGCCTTTTGGGGATTCCGGACTTCTTCACCTAAGGAAATACAAACAAGAGATTTGCATGTTTAATAGGCAGTTATCAGGCTGAACTTAATGTGGATGAAAACCTCCTTCTCTGTAGCAGTTCTACTCTGACTTTGTCCCTTTTGCTTTCATAGCTTGGTCCATTTATTTTACAGAAAATTTCTCTTCTGTTCCTACAGGGACTTTGCTATTAGCATAAAGATCCAAGACCCAGAGGGAGAAGGGGAAGGGAGGGAGGGAGGAAGGAAGGAAGGAAGGAAGGAAGGAAGGAAGGAAGGAAGGAAGGAAGGAAGGATCCCTAAGTACTCTTAGTGCTTAGGGATGGAAAGGCTTCAAATAAATTATTTCATTCACTAATGTGAAACTTTAGTTTCCATTGAAGAAACAAAAACAGAAGATCATTCTCTTAAGACTGACACTTGAAGTTTCCCTGACCACACTCAGTTATAAAGCAATGCTGTGATTAAAACCCAGTGAGTGACTCTGGACTGAGCACTTTGTCATCTGGATATAATATTTTGTCTGCTGAAAGAAAAGACAATGTAAGAAGACCCGTGTGGAGGTGCCAGCATTTCCAGGTGAAAGATTAAAGATGGCTGAAGGTGAAATTGTGAGCAGTAGTTAAAACTTCTCAACACATCGAGCAGATGTGCTTTCTTAGGTCATCTTATCTGTGGGGCATGTGTTGCTCTCACGGTTTTACCAGTATAGAAACCAAGGCTCAGAGGGCTCACCAAGCATCTTTTGTATCATATACAGCAGGGTGTTGCTGGTGGACCTGGAGCTAGTACCCTTCCCACCCCAATCCTACCCTCTTTTCTTTACCTCTGCTGCCACCTGTGGCTACCACTATGATATTTTTTGCTTTTCACTAGTGCTGGGACACAGCTCTTACCAGTTGTTGCAATGCAGTCAAAGCCCACAAAGGCATAAAAGCATGTTGCAGCACCAGCTAAGGTTCCTGCAAATCCATAGGGCATAAAGCCTCCAGCCCCATAGATGCTTGTTCCATTTTCAGAAGGTGGTTCTCTAAAGAAAAGAACAAACACATCAAAGTTACTTTCACAGAAGTGGCACCTTCTGATAATTTGCCTCAAACTACATCTTTGAAAGACTGTTGTGTTCACTGGCTCTTTGAAGCTGGTGTATTTAAAACTAAAATTTTATTCTGCCATTTTGTTCTAGAGAATGCGGTAGAGCCCCTCACAATGACCCCTTTTGTCACTGACATTCAACAACAGGCTGAGGAACAGCAAATGCAGAAGGATGTAGCTCAGCCCCTCACAATGACCCCTTTTGTCACTGACATTCAACAACAGGCTGAGGAACAGCAAATGCAGAAGGATGTAGCTCAGGCTAGACTTGAACTTGTGTCAGCCCTACTGCTCAGCATCCTGTGTGTTACCACCATGCTGATCTACTCAGACCAGTATGGGCTGGAATCCATAGGCAGAGCTCAGAGACCCCACATAGGAGCCATGCTCTGCAACAAAGATAAGAAACTTGCTTTTCATTTTTTTCTATAAGAATCCCTTGAAAAAAAAAGACTCATGAAACAGAAAGGAAGGCAGACCACACATCTTGGGGGCTGGTGAGATAGCTCAGCAGGTAAAGGCACTTGCCACCAACCTGAGTTTGATTTGCAGGAAGGATCTACATGGTGGAAGGAGAGAACTAATGTCTGCAAGTTGTTCTCTGATATCCATTTACATATTTGAGCACATACGTTGAGTATGTGCACACACAATATGAATTTAAGAATGAAGTAAAAAGTAGAAAATATCCCAAAATTCACTTAGAAGACAGCTGAAAAGTGAACAAACTTCTCTAGGCTTGAGTAATCATACTGAAAGTTGAATGTTTAGTACATATTAAAAATCAGCGTAGAGTTGAGAGGATTGTCTGCTCCTGCAGAGGACTTGGGTTTGTTTCCCAGCACCCACGTGATGGCTAACAACCATTCATAACTCCAGGTCTGGGGATCCGACACCCTCTTCTAACCTCCATGGGCGTTGCATGACACAGGTGCACTTACATACATGCAGAAAATGCACTCACATACATAAAATAAAAATAATATATGAAATACTTTTAAAAAAATCAGAGGATACTGTTTTTCCCTTATCAGGATGACTATGAAAGGCATATATAAATAAAAATATAGAGTTGTATCTTATTCCATGTAACAGATGCTTTTGTGATCTTATTTCTTCTCATGCAAATATCAACTTAAAAAAATAATAAAAAGCCTCCATATTAGCAAACGCCTGAAAACATGCAACAGAAGTGAATGGTCCCAAAGGAGAAACTAAAGGATGTAAGGGTCAAAAATACTCGCTACTTAGAGGTGACAAACTGTTGGGGAGCAAAGGTCAAGCTCTGCAGGGGGTCAGGCTCTTTCCTTGCTCTTGCTGAAAATTCAGAACAGAGGATGAGGATGGGAATCAGCAGCTGCACAGCTTCCCACAGTGGCTCAGCGGGGAGTGCACCTGTATGTTAAGATGGGAACCCGGGCAGAGGAACTCTGGGTCTAGAACATGGCACACAGAGATCTCAGCACCAAAAAGCTTGAGAACCATTGCTCTAAAAAAAACTTACAAATATTTCCTCTTAAAATGTAACAGAGGGGAGAGAAGGGAGAGAGGGGAGGGGGAGGGGGAGGGAGGGAGAGAGATACGAGAGACAGAGAGAGAGAGAGAGAATGAATATGAAAGAGAGTATTTTACCTAGCACTTGTGGATATATTTTTCAAAAACTCTTCACTGATCTTCCAGTTAGCCACATTTCCTTTCACAAACCCAGCAACCATTACAAAGAGAAGGACCAGGATATTAATAGCTGTAAAGAATTTATTCACCCAAGCAGACTCCTTTACTCCAAAAGACAAAAGACCTATGGAAAGGAGAGAGAATTAATTAAAATTTTAAAGCAATGCTGCTCTGAGGCAAATGCTTAGGGCATCACCACATGGGCATTTATATGTTTACATATTCTTATATTTATATATTTAACTTCCGTTTATCCAAATCGATTGCTAGCTCATAGTCATTAGTCACCTAATTGTGAGGCAATGCCTTGTGGGCACCATCCATTTGATTTCTGGGAGCAAACCGTGCTCACTCTAAAGAGACGCCACACCATCGATGCATGTCTGGGAACTCTGGTTATCATCACCGTAGCAGGCGTGAGCAGCACACTTTTTTTTTTTGAGACAGGGTCTCCCTGTAGTGGGAATGGCTTGGAACTCACTATATAGACCAGGCTGGCCTTGAACTCACAGAAGATCCTCCTGCCTCTAGTATACCTAATAGCTATCTTAAAAAGCTATTTCATGGCTAACATAAAAGCCCAGTCATATGTCTGCCATGTTATCTATTGATCATATCAACAGAAAATAATTCTTCTAAGTGTTATGCCAAAATAATTCTTTGTTCAATCTATTCTTACTTCAATAGATTTAGTTTGTATTATGATTATAAAATTTCATACTCAAGTACTTTGAAGATACAGAAGTATGAAGAATAAAGATCAACTACGTCTCCCTGCAGAATTCTGCACATGCAAACACATTTCTGCACCCACAAATATATCAGCTCACTTTTAACAGCTGTGTAACATACTATATGGAGATACTTTAATCCCTTATTTATAGACCATTAGATCACTCTTAGCATTTAAAAACAGCACTGACATCATTTTATAAATATCTTTCTGCATTTTCTATTTCTTTTTTATTTTAATGTATTTGCTTTTTTTTAATATGCATGAGTGTATTGCCTGCATGCATGTAAGTGCGCCAGTGTTGTGCAATGCACACAGAGGTCAGGAGAGCGTCAGACCCTCTGGAACTGGAGTTACAGACGATTGTTAGCTGCTAGGTGGGTACTGGGAACCAAACCCAGGTCCTCTGCAAGAATGGCTAGTACTTTTAACTGCTGAGCCATCTCTCCAGCCCCTCCACATTATTTTTTGAGACAAGATCTCTCCCTCAACCTGGAGCTCCTCAATTTGGCTAGGCTGACTGTTCAAAAGACTACAGGACTCTACCTTTCTCTGCCCTTCTTCCCAGTGCTGAGGTTACAGTCGCAAGCTACCTTGCCTGGCTTCTGTGTGGGTTCTGGGGATGCAAGATCACATCTCACACTTGTGTGGCATGTACTTTATCCACTGAGCCATCTTCCCAGCCCCAGGGCATGTGTGTTTATACAAAGCTTTTGGTTCATATTCACAAAATAATCTACAGAAGATTTTGTCCCATTTACATTGCCCATTTTTTTCTATCAGGATATTCCATTCACTCAGATTTATAAGACACATTTATTTATTAATGCTATTAGCTCTCTGCCCCTTATGCTTTCCCTCTCTATCATTTTAAAAAATACTTTTTAAAAATTCTGGCGATGAGAATGGAGTCCAGGACCTTGTGCATATTACACAAATGTTCCTGGTGAGCTCTACTCCCAGTCCTATAAATTGCTTTTAATCTTAGGGCTGCTTAAAAATGCAAAAATTTATTAGAATGATTTACATGTCTGATTTTACCTTTAATAATATTTTCCAAAATACTAACCTTCAAATATTCATTTTTATTTCTGCCTAGTTTTTAAATGATTATGCCTATCCCATTTCTATCATTAATCTACCAGACATAAAATATGAATTATGAACCTAAGAGAGTTCAGCTTTCAGCACTGAGGTAATGGTTGCATAATGCCACAGATTCACTTGTGTCTCCCCTGTATCCACAGCACTCATCATCACAGAAGCAGAGCTCTGCAAGCAGAGATAAGCGCAGCTGAATTTCATTCCTTTGCATATGCAGTTCCCACTGTGATATGACAACAACTGCATTAATAATACAAAGGAAAGCTGTGGAGTCCACACAGTATGGATTCTGCAATTGGCTGGAGGGTTGGACGCCTCTGCTGCATAGCTGCGGAACAGCAAAGTCACCGCCACATTTCACACTGGGTTCCGAACAGGCCACATGTACTGTGTGCTTGGGGTCTCACCTCCCACCAACAGATTAGACCCCAACACAGATCTCATCTGAACACTACATACGATTCCCTGGTAGCTTTATAAAAACAAGTTTCAGCTGATATACGCTACTACAATTTAAGTAAATATTCGTAATAGTATATTTTGAATTTCAAAGTCTAATGCAAGTTTGGAATACATTTAAAGAAAAGTGTGGGAGGTGAACAAGCAGCAGACAAATGGCTCAGGCTGAAGCCTTCGTTCCACCATGGTATCTAATGGTTCTAAACACGAGGCCCACCTACTAACTTCTCATCAAGAGATTTAAGTTTACTGAAGCCATCACTAAATAAAACACTGTATAATTAATTTAATATTAACTAGGCTGCTTAGAAACCAAATGAAATCAACAAAAATCTATTAATGAAAAATAATAGATGTATTTAAAATGTTTTAATTAATTGATTTGCATGTGTGTATCTGTGGGGGCGGGGGGGTCAAGCACATGCCATAGTGCTAGTGTAGAGGTCAGAGGACAACTTGTGGGAGTCAGTTTTCTCTTTTTAATGTAAGTCCTGGGGACTGAGTTCAGATCATAAGGTTTGGCAGCAGGTATCTTTACCTGCTAAGCCATCTCACTGGCCCAGAATGTATTGCTCTTAATAGCTGAAGCTAAGTACAAAATATTTCTGAACTATGAAATTTGTTCATCTCTCTCTCTCTCCCTAGTTAATGCTTAACTTTTTGAAGTGTAAGGATATTTTTACTTTTTTATTTATTTATTTTTATTTTATGTGTATGAGTGTTTTGCATGCATATATGTAAGTGTCATGCAGTGCCCAGGGAGGACAGAAGAGGGCATCAGGGCCTCTGGAACTGGAGTTACCGACAGTTGTTAGCTGCCATGTGGGTGCTGGGAACTGAAACAGGATCCTCTGCAAGAGCAGCCAGTGCTTTTAACCGCAGAGCGTCTCTCCAGCCCCAAGTATAAGGCTATTTTTAAAACTATAATTTTACAGGTAAATACTGCCTATCAGAAAGATTATTTTTGTTACACTTTTCCAGCCAAGGGAGAAAACAGATGAGGCTGGACAGAAAAGCAAGGAGCCAGTTACTCAGGGTAAATCAAGTTGGAAGTCAGAACAATCACAGATTTTTAGTATTATCATTGATGGGTTTAAGCAGGTTTGCAGATAAGAACAACTTAATAGAAAACGTTCATATAGTCGATGACAGGGGACAGCAAGGATCAGCTATGCTTACAAAATAAAACTAGTTGTCAGCTGGATGTGTACTGTGCACCAAGCAGGGCAGACAGTGATATTCTCATTTCATGGATGAACCAACTGAGTAAGGAAAAGAGGAAGCACACCTTTCAAACTCTAAAATTATCACATAGCAGAGAAAGATGGAGAAACCTAGGTGCTCTAATTCTTGCCTTTTAAGTTGCTATGCTACCACACTGTTGACACAGAAAGATCCTAAACCAAGCATGTCTGTCCACAGGATGCCTACATTAGAAAATGTCAGTGAGCTGCACGCTTCTGTTCCACCAGTTGTCTATGCTGAGGAAGATAAAGACAGGGCAGAAAACATTTTTTCTAAAAATAACATTTTACAAATGTCTTTGGTTGAATCTAATGGTATGAAACAATACCAAGAGATTTTTTTTCTTATTGAAATGTCATTCTAGTCTCAAAAGCCTCTAAATTATATTGTAAAACTGATGTCCTCAAAACAAAATTGATGTTTTCATCCTATGGCTTGGCCATTCCAGAAGCCTTTTACTCAGAAGCACTATTTCACCCTCTGCATGTTTAATCCTGTTTGTGAAACATACCTACCACAGAAGATGAAACACACAGTCATTCGACAGCAGCCTATGGGCATCAATATGCTGACTTAGTCTAGAGGACTCAGGCTCCAAATTCTGTATAACATACTTTCCAGGGCCCATTAGCATTGGCTCATTACAGGGCACGGCAGATGACTGGTTTCTTACCTGCTAGAAGTAATATAAGGCAGACAGCAAAGAAGTCTGGATACTCTGCCAGCCCCGTGTAATTCATCCTGAAGTATGTTTTGAAAAACTGACCAATCTGTTTGTTGAGAAGTTCGTCAAAGGTGCCACTCCATGCTCTTGCGACACTTGATGTACCTTCCCAAAACAGAACATTCAGAGAATAAAAGGTTACTGGTAGAAAATTAACTTGACACCCTTTGCTTCTCTATTCCTGGATAAACCTCAGTTAGTTCACACAAGTTGAACATTTCAACTGCATTGAAAAATTAAATCAAATTACTATTGTAATAGAACAATTTACAATACTTTTTTTGTTTTGTTTTTTGGGTTTTTTTGAGGCAGAGTCTTGCTATGCAGCCCAGGCAGGCCCCGTACAATCCTGCCGCATCCTGAGGGTGGGGGATGCAGGTGTGTACCACTATGCCCAGCTGCAATGGAAAGCAAATGCTTCCATCAGGCAACTTTATTTGCAATAAAGCACTATAAACAACTGCACTGGTGGGGAGACGGTTAAAGCACTTGCCACCTAAGCAAGAGGACAGGTGTTCAGTTCAGAACCCCAGAACTCAGGAGGGTGTAGCCTGGAGTTCCAGCCTTGGAAGGTGGAGACTGGGAATCCCCAGAGCAAGCTGGCTGGTGAGATCAGCTGAAGCAGCAGCACTGAGAGCTCCTGCCTCAAAGAACAAGGGGCAAGAGCAATTCAGGGAAGAGTCTGCATCCACCACCAGTCCCCACATGCACTCACACACAGAAACAAGTTCACTTGTATACATATGAACATACATACCACACACGAAAAGAAAAAAAATCACATTTTACAAACCTCAAGCAATTGTCAGGATTTTCAAACCCTCTAAGAGGCATATTCAAAGATGAAGCAGAATCACAGAATTATACCATGAGAAGACATTTTAGAGAAGACAAAAATGAGACAGAGGGATCAAGCAATGCTCTCTCCACCCCCACCCCCATACCCCAGCGGAGTGCAGAGGGCCCTGGGGAGTCCTATTCCCCCATGTATACAGTTGAGATTTATTTCAGAAACATACCTATAACATACGATAGAATGAGATTCCAGCCAGTGATGAAGGCCCACAGCTCCCCAACTGTGACATAGGTGTACAGATAGGCCGACCCAGTCTTGGGCACTCGGGCCCCGAATTCAGCGTAGCAAAGGCCTGCCATTACTGAGGCCAGGGCAGCGATGAGGAAGGACACCACGATACTGGGGCCAGAATCCGCTTTGGCAACTTCCCCAGCGAGGACATAAACCCCAGCACCCAGGGTGCTTCCAACCCCCAGAGCAATCAGGTCCATGGTGGTTAAGCAGCGGCATAGTTTGGACTCCTCTAGACTGTCCAGGGTGACAATTTTTCTCCGGATCAGACATCGGGTGAAAGTGATCATGGCTCTGCAGGGAATCATGGTGAAGAAAGAGAGCGACCTACGAGAGAGAGAGAGAGAGAGAGAGAGAGAGAGAGAGAGAGAGAGAGGGGGGAGGGGGGGGGGAGGGAGGGAGAGAGAGAGAGACATATTAGCAGGGGTCTGCAGTCCCTCACTGGGGTTAAGAGTTTGGCCCTACACACCAAGAGGACAGAGGTTCTTTCACCTTTTACCAAATAGAGACATGGTTCCCAGCAGCCAGGAAGGTTTAAGAAGAGGAAGCCACAAATTTCCCAGGGTTCTCTCATACATTTGACTCCAAGTGACTTTTCGGGGGGAAGCAACGGTGATTTAAAAGATTTATTATTTTGTTTAATTACTACAATTTTTTTGTAGCAGTGTTGACAGAAATATGTTCCTGATTAGATGGCCACTTTAATCCCCACTACAAGGAGAGAAGTGGTTTTCCTCTCTTTTAGGTTGTCTCCTTTAATCATTCATCCAACTCAAGATTTCCTGGGCTTTACTAAATGCCAGGGATTGTGCTGGGAATATGTGAAGAATTGTGGCACACATGTGGCCTCTAGCTAGGGTCTAAAAGTAAGTAAAAAGGTCGTGGTTAGGTTTTCTAAAGCTTTACTGAGTATGTCTGAATTCTCCATTTTTATTCATTATGCTCGGACAGTGAACACAGAGAAGATGTGAACTCATTAGAATGAAACACTCGCCCTCTCCAGCTTGAATTGTCCTTACTAAAACTGCTGTTCTACCATGCTTTAAATATGAATTCATACTACAATATATATGCTTATTTGAGATGTTTAAATAAACAAGGTCAAAGTCCATGGCAAGAATTATCATATGTTCTTTAAAATGGAGGAATAAAGAAGATTAAAAAGTCCCAGTCCTCACCACCCTTTGGCCCACTGAAAAATATCATTATATAAAACAAGCTATGGACTTTAGTAAGATAATATACACACCTATATTTTGGTAAAAAAAAAAGGTTCAAACCAAAATATCAACCTGGATGAAAATATCATCCAAATAATCATATTTGGATGATGGGTTAATTTTTTACTTCTATGTATATAGTTTTTTATGAGATTGAGTGTATTGCCTGTATGTATGTGCACCTGTGTCACACAATACCCGCAGAGGTCAGAAGAGAGTGTTAGATCCCCTGGAACTGGAGTTATGAGTTATGGCTGGTTGTTAGCCTCTATGTAGGTGCTGGGAATCAAACCCTGGTCTTCTGCAAGAATAGCTGGTGCTCTTAACCATATATATATAATCTATTATATATAATCTATTTCAACTCCAAATGAATATATATATATATATATATATATATATATAAAACCTGTGTGAAAAAGAAATACCACAATTTAAGAAGTCCATGTGGCCCCGTCTACAATTATGTAGCTCAACAGACAGAGGCAACTGAGGAACAGGATATGGCGTGCTGCTTATTGGTCAGGGCACCTGGAGACGTTGTCATCTCTGCTTGTACTTTATGGAGGGGCACCTGCTCAAATGACCTTGTTGATGTGGAGTGCTGCTGCCTTCAACTTCGTGACACTCATCATTGATAACTAAACTAATGAAGTCATTGCTAGACATGTTCACTCAAGAACTTAGACCTTTTTATGCTGTAAATAAACCCTTAAACATTTCTCATCTAAAAGCTAGCATTAAAATTTCATTTATTTAAAAATAATAAAACAAAGCAATTTTTCTGTATGTTAACTTTAAGTGACTTGTTGCTCATAAAAGGAGACATTTCTGGAATGTGCGTAAGGCAGTTTTGTGTTAAATCTAGTATATAAAGTTAATTCACTGAACATCATAAACATATCGTAAATGAAAGAATATGAAGAAACAGCCCTAGAAAAATGAAAATGAATAAAGTTCAATGAAAGTAAAAATAAACTTTTACACACCTTTGTTTTCCTTTACGCTACCTGACAGTGTTCCAAAGCTTGCCACTTTGCAAATGCTTGCTGAGAAATTTACAGAGGTGGCATTGCTAATTTTGCTAATACTACAGTCAGGTTTCTAGAGTCAAAACCTATCAAAACTTCTACAAATCAAAGTGAGTCAATGCATACCATTAGCTAATTCTTAAACAGCCATTTCTCATATAATATACTTAGAAGATTAGATAGGGGGGTGTTCTGATAAAATGAATCAGAAAGTTGCTGGGTATGGTGGCACACACCTTTAATCCCAGCACTCTGGAGGCAGAGGCAGGCAAATCTCTGTGAGATCGAGGTCAGCCCAGTCTACACAGCAAGTTCCAGGCCAGCTGTGGCTACAGGGAGACCCTGTCTCAAAAAGAAAGAAAAATCAGAAAGCAAAAATTAGAAGTTTAACAGAAAGGTCAGTTGAAGGGGGGTGAGAGGTGAGAGGGTATTGAAGTGTTTTTTACAAACAGACATGTTCAAAGAACAAGAATCAGGACCCACTGACAACTGAAAAGTGCTCTGAAGTGACCCACAGAATTTCATTAATGATTTAAGATCATGTGAAAATGGGACACATCATATCAGCTTCAGGAATACAACAGATAGGTAACAAATGAGCTATACTTGGCATTTAAATAAAATATTCATGGGGGCTGGAGAGATGGCTCAGCGGTTAAGAACACTGGTTGTTCTTGCAGAAGACCCAGGTTCGAATCCCAGCACCCACATGGCAGATAACAACTGTCCATTAACTCCAATCCCAGGGGATCTGACAGCCCTTTCTGACCTCTGCGGGCATTGCATGACACGGGTACACTTACCTACATGCAGGCAATGCATGCATACACAAAAAATAAAAATAATAAAATACTCATGGTGGAAGGAGTACTTAATTCACCTCAACTTTTGTGAATGAGAAACATAAATTCTACAGCTATGTATATTTATAGGATGGGATGTGGAGGGAAACAAGGGAAACAAGAAAAGATCTATGTGGGGGTAGAGGGTGAGTAGTAACACTGTAGGTGGGCTTTTTTCAAACCTTTTTGTTCTGGTATTATAATCATGACGATCCTTGTGAAATTTCTAGAGTTAAAATAGCATGCAGTGAAAGACAATAAACAAGCCAACTAAGTTTCCCAAAACGAATAGATTAATGATGGCCATCTCTTTGATATAAAATTGAATTTATGTCAGGCATGGTGGCACAAGTTTGTAATGCCATCACTCTAGAGGCTGAGGCAGGAGGGTTGAAAGTTTCAGGCCAGCTTGGGCTATACAGCAAATATCTGCTTCAGAGAAATAACGTTTAAAAAAAAGAATTAAATTTACTCCAGATTACCAAGGTAGCAGAACTGCGTATACAAATGCATCATTTTAATCTGGTAAGATCAGATTTCTACTGCTTTCCTAGTAAAGATGGGAAGTACTTTGTGTGCACAGCTCTTCTCTGTTGCTCTGGGACAAAGATGCTATTTGTCAAATTTTCATTTGCTTGTGAGTACTGAAAAGAATACGTCAGAAGCTTCTCAGAACTGGCAGGCTCAGAGTGCTGTGTAAAGAGTCTTTGCATAGCCAGGTAAAACACTAACATAAAACTACTTTTGTAGAAATATAATGGATGGGAGAAAAGAGGCATAAAACATAATGGTCAAACTTAAGGAGTCATTATTAAAAATTTATTAAGGTCTAGCATGTAACCTCATTCAGTATTTAGTAGATAAAGAGAAAAATAACTTCATGTGTTTTAAAGATATATTTTTGTGTGAAGACAGTGGTATATGAAAAGAGTGGGAACTAGAATCTGAGAAAGATATATTCATGTCTGGTATCAGTAATTTTATATTTTAAGCTTTACAATTTTTTTCTTAAAACTTTTTAAAAAAGATAGATTTATTATGTGAAATGGTCATGATAATCTTACTGTCATTTTTACAAGGCACCTTTATTGCTGAAAAAGGGTGCTCACTCTGTATCCTTTTATAGCAAATGCATACAATGCATAAATGCAGTCCTCAGAGACTCCGAAGGCGACACTCTGGATGTGGATGGCAGATTGAGAGAAGATCTGCATCATCAGACCCAGACTGTTACTATGAGCAAGGATGTATACTTAACATGGAACTTACTCATATATACTGAAGGACAAAGATGGGACTTTTGGAAGAGCCCCAAGCAACACTCACACCCATGTCCTTGGCCTTTGGATAGACAGGCTCTAACATCCCTGAGGAATCACAAGTGATTTCAGCAATAACAGAAATATAGGTACACCTCTTTTCTCAACAAACAAAAAAAATTTTCTCAAAATTTTTGCTAAAATTGTTAAGATTGCTAAAATTGTGGCTTCCTTTGAGGAAGAAAAATACACATTATCTGAGATCTAAAAATAATTAGATGAGGGAGGTCTGAAGGGATTAACAGTATGTGCAGCAGACTCTGAAAGATTTTATTGAGGTGATGCATGTAAATTTCCTCAGCCTACTCCCAAACCAAAGAATGACAGTTTCTAAATACCTTTACTGTGATGAATTCATTAATACTTACCAAACGGTGAGTTCCTTCTTCAGCAACCTGGAGCTATAACTTCTAAAACTTCATCAACCCAGGTCATTAGCTTGATAGTACAAAATTCTAGGTCTAGTAAATGCTTATTCCTGATTATTTAACACCATGGGGCAGACATCCTGTCAAAGACCCACAGGCATCTTTCAAAATCTGTTACAGTAAAATGTCCATCCTGGATTGTCACTTTACTTCTACATCTAAAGTACCAGTTATTCACAGAGCAGATATTCCTTCCCCTCCTGTATTATGGAGAGGATAAAATGTCAGACTCAGTTCCTGTATCACTATCATAGGCCCTCATGAAAATATTACAGAAGGAACAGACAGTGATGAACCAGCACAGCAGGTGTCCCAAGAGCCTCCAACCAATTAGCTTGTTGAAATTATAACCCAGCTGTCCCTCCTTCATCCCACCATTTTATGGTGAGGTATATGCAGTTTCCATTTCTGGACTAATGGAGAGAAATGTGATAAACCATATAGGGCAGGTATGTTTGCCCCTGCCCCCCTTATTTCTCCAAGCTAG